AAATGATAAATTATTTTCTCAATTTAAAACACAATCTTGCTTCAATCCAAAAATAATAATAATAAATAAGGGTGAGCAATCAGCTTCCAAAACATATTTTTGTCACCACATTGTTTGTAACACTACATTTTCCACAGACGCATAACCTTTATTGCTTTTAGGCCCCATTACTGTGGGCTCCTGGGTAAGAAAGGGGCCGATGCTGAGCGTAGATAGACAGGCCGACTTTAAAAGCTCTCCTTTCTCTCTTTAGTCATTCCAAAACACATCAGGGCTCCTGCCTGGGGACCTGTGGAGCTCTGACAGCCAAAAGACACTACCTGCGTCTAGACGTAAAAACACATTAAATCGTGTTCCTGAACACACAACACGTGCAGGGAAAGTTATGATAATGACTTATTTCACTTTCAAAAGAGTCACTCCTCTATTTTGGTTTGCTCCAAAGAGCTCGAGGAATTGTGATGGAACATTTGCTTGTGGTATTGGCCAGAAATACAGTATATTAAATAACAAAGCTATCTCTGGAAACTAAGATAGTTGAATTGCACTGGACAGATGTAAAGCGCTGTGTTGTTAAAAAAAAAAAAAAAGTCAAAAAAAATAAAATAAGAATAATAATAAAATAAATTAAAAATCACACCTCTACTTGATTCCAGCTGTAAACTCATAAGCGAAGCCCCTCCATCCCGGAGGTGCTAAACCCGTCCCGTTTGCAATGTCACCGGGTTGGCCTCAGGTATGCATCGGCCGAGGTACGGCCGGGGATAATTGAAACCGTTCCCACCTCAGCAGAGCCAGGGAGCAGATCTCTGTCCCGCAGACGGCTCTGTGTTGTTTTCTCTCCCGGCGAGCCGTGGCCCTTCCCTGCTGAGAGGGAGCACGGCCGGGCCTCCAGAGACGCACATTCCCACACACCAACCCGCACTCCACCTCTCACCCAACACACAAGAATGCTTTCATCCCCTGAACATCCTCACACTCAGGTACTGCACGCAATTGCATACAAGAGTTATGGTACAACCAGTTGTGGTATAGCCAAAGAGAACAATGCCAACAAGTCTCTGTGTGCGTCCTGTACACATGCTATATGATAAAAATACTACTGAAAAAAATAACGTAATATTTTTTTAAAAATAAAGGATTATTAATTTATTATTTTTTTTAGTTTAAAAATCATTTGTTAATATTACATTATTGAGAAGTGAATTAATTTTATGTATATCAGTATGATATTTTTTAAAGAAAGAAAATTAGAACTGCTGTTCAGTAAGACTGCATTACAACTGATCATTTGGTGACAGAAAAGGTATTTATGATGTTATAAAAATATAAAAATGTCAAATAAATGCTATTCTTTTGAACTATATTCATCCAAGAATTTGAACTATATTCATCCAAGCATCAGTTATCAACGCTGATGATAAGAATAACTAATGAGCACCAAATCAGCATATTAGATTATGATTTCTGAAGGATTATGCATCATTTTTTTTCTGTATTTTAAATAAAACAAAAGCTGCCTTGGTGAGCATGAGATAATTATTTTAAAAATGTTTAATATTTTACTGACACAAAACTTTTTAATGGTGGTTTACTTGATAATACATTTGGTTAAAAATGTAAATGTACACTACATTTTTCATTTTTACATTTTGATCAACCATTCAATAAAGTTATTCGTACAAATGGCACAGGACATTCTGCGCACTCTATTTTAGTATAAAACTTGTGGTTCCTGAAATTTTCCTCAGTCATGAAGAAATTTGAATCAATAAACTGCAATCAATACAAGGATCATATTGCTGACAAGCATGAAATATATTCTGTCATTGTACAATATTAATAATTAAGTGAGCAAAAAAAAGACTGTTTTTTTTTCCCAAAGACCTCTCTTTATGTGTCTTCTCGCTTACAGTAGTGTGTGTGAGCAATTTATAGCCTAACCCTTAAGACCAATACGACATGCCTCATCCTTTTCATTACTTTCCTCTATATCAACATTCATCCGTAATTATTTGAATATATCAAAATCCCATCAAACACAGGTGCAAGAACGCGTGCGGAACGACAAATAAATAACACAACCCATCGACTGCATCGAATAGTGTAACACAACACAATGCAACATGACCCCACACATCACCAACACAGACCGACGCTTAAATCAGACAGGATGTGACCACGAGAAAATGTATCCATGTGGATTTATACACTAAACACTGATAATTACAGATCATAGTCTTGTTTTATTCCCCAAAATGAGCATTGTAAGTGCTTGGCACAAAGCAAAAGCTGAGTGTATTTCTGGATTGTGCCGGCTGTCCTTTGCACATTTGTCTAAGTTACACAGTTGACAATCACCAATCACCATTAGGCATTTGTATGTGCAAAGCCAGAGGGAAATCCCTTTATGGCTTTGACTAAATTAGACCGAGCATGTGCATTTCTTCAAGGTCTCAAATACATATTTGCTGTGGTATTATTTACAGTTTGAAATTCTCCCACCATGTTTTAGTTTTTTTTGTTCTGTCCTTCTGAACACCCTGTTTAGTTCAAAGAAAACATTCTGTTACGGTCTAAAGTACAGAACGTGAAGTATTCAGCTATTGCATGCAATTGTCGTTTTAAGAGAAAGGTCCTTAGCTTTAAAGTGTCAAAACGAAATGTAATAATTCCGTTGCTGAGATATAGCAGAAAGGAAAAACTGCACGTTGCACAATCCAATCATTTTACAAGATGCCTCGACAGCCGAATCATACGCGAGCGGTTTAAACACATGAAACGAAATCAAAATACAGGACAGATGTTGTGAAAAAGCTACATTTAAGCTTTGTCACAAAACCGTCTTTTTTTTTTTTTTTTTCCAAAAGACGGGGAGGGGGTAGCTTCCATTATACAAAGTGCAGCGGGCACAATTCAGTGTAGCCAAACATACGGAAATATTTAACAGCCAATTGCTGCCAATTAACTTTGATCAAGATGAGTGCGATTGGAATCTCCCCGTCACTCGAATGTCTCGGGCAGCACAAACATTTTCTTTCTCCCTGGTTCTCGTGGCAGGAAAAGCAGAGCGAGGCCGTTGACTAATGAGACTTGGCAGGCTCGCAACAGTTTTCCTCACACTTAAGTATCAAACAAAACATTTCCTCCTCCGTGAGGTCAGCCACGAGCAGGACACTCAATGGGAAAATCAATGGGTCAATGGAGTCGGGTTTTGGGACGAGCGGTGTCTGGGATCGGGTGGGTTCAGCGGGCTTGGATGGATCTGGTCTGCATAGTCTGCTACTTAAAGGCATAGTTCAGACTTTTTTATCGTTTATTCACCCTCGTGTCGTTTCAAACCTGTATGACTTTTATTCTTTAGTGGAATTCAACTGAAGCTTTCAAGCTTCAAAAAGAAAGTTATGTATCATAAAAGTGGTGCATATGACTCAATTGCTCAAAAGTTGTATGATTGCTTTGTGTGGGAAATAGACTGAATCTTTATTTCTTATTATTCATTGATAATCTTCCACTGCAACCGGATCCATGAATCAGTGAGAACATTTTTAAAAAAAATAATCACATTTTCATCAGATTATGTGTTTTGAAAAAAAAATATATATATTTTTTTTTGTTGAATGTTGAAAAAGGCAAACTGAGAAATTAGTTTTTATTGTAAAAAAAGTAAAATGCTTCAATGCTGAGAAATGTACACTAATTTTTTAAGTATAATCAACTTGGATGTTTAGGTCATTTCAACTTAAATTACATTAAACTGACTTAAAAAATAGTTGAATCTTGTATAACTTAAGTTTAAAATTGATTAACTTATTTTGATGAGTTAATGCAATGTAAAAACATATGTTGTCAACTTATTGATGATATATTTTAACATGATTTTGGCTTTGAGAATTAAATGAAAAGGCCTTTTACACTATCAATCAGAAGACAGAAAGCATGTAGCCGATTGTGTACAACAGGTTTTGAGTATATTGATAAGTTAGAAATATGCATACCAAAATAAGATACAGTCGGTTTTATAGGGTTAAGAACTTCAGAACCTGTTCGATTTGTGAATGAATCATTCATAATAGTCTTATCTGAACTGAATCGACATATTAATTTAATAGATAAAAAAAAAAAAAAAAAAAAAACTTAAAGTTTGGTCTCTTCTAACACAAAGCCATGGTACAACTTCAGAAGACTTGGAGTATAAATGATAACTGAATTTTTATTTTTGGATGAACTGGCTTTTAAGGCCCGGGGTTTGTTGAATTATTAGCATATTTTTAGACCTGAAGCTATTTTAACAGGCCATATTAGATGATCTGTGTAAATCGCTAAATGATGTGCTAGATCGAGCAACACCAGTTCTGGTCAAACTGAATTACACTGCAATGAACACATGGAGCGCTGCCAATCACGAGTAGAAGTGACCCCAACAGTTTCGTTTTCACCCCTCACCAGGCGGGGCAGACAGACACCTAGATACCCTCTCAGTAACTGCCCCCGGGGGCAGATTTTACACTGATCCTACATGAATCAGGCAGAGCGGGCAGAGCAGCCGTTTTCAGACCGTGACTGAGAGTCAGAGACACCGAGCACACAGCATGACACGCAGACAGTCAGAGCACGTACAGAAATATTAGAAGCTGACAAATTGGCCTGGGCGGCAGGGGAAGGGAGGGGGGGCGGTGGTGGGCGCAGGCCGGGGAGACTGACAGCGCATGTAAAATTCATAGTGTCCCATGGGCTCCGAGGTAATACTTCACCACTGAGGGACGTTAGCGAGAAATAGGCACCCTGCTATTAAATGGTTGTTGATGCTATGGCTTAAACTTTAATGGACTGCTCTTGTGCTCGTAATGTAATGTATACACTCTGTTGTGACTTATCCACATCTTGGGGCTGGGTTTTAAATATGGCCAGTATTAGAAGGCTTGCAGTAAGCTTCATTGAAGCCAGTGAGAAAAAAAAAGAAAAGGAATCCCCAAAGTCACAAAAAGTGATGGACCTACTTCCAAGTCGTTGAAGAAGAAATGTGTGTCGGCCAAGTTGAAGATCATCTCTTCCATTCTAAGTCCCAATGACACCGACGTTGGTGGATCCTGAAAAAAAAAAAACGGAGAGAAAAAAAAAACACTCAATAACTACTTATACTTTCCACAAAACAATATAAAACATATATAGGCAGGCCTAATATTCAATCCTAATTTGATTCAGCTAATACACAATGATGCTTCAGAATCAGTAATATAGTATATTTAGCTCTGTTTAACACATTTCCCCATATTTACTTTGGATAATGGTTATTTTATAAAATAATATATGTAAAATACTAAATCCATCCATCCATCCATCCATCCATCCATCCATCCATCCATCCATCCATCCATCTATCTATCTATCTATCTATCTCATGCATTATATCATATATAATTAATAAAATGCATCATACAACACATCTCTGCCTATCCCGATACTACAGTACAAGACTCAAGAATTAAGAGCTCCGTGTTTTTTTTCTGAAAAGAAACTGGGCTTAATTTTACACTCTGTTGGCAGTAAAACCCAGTCTTAGATGTGTTATGCGTTGAAATGAGTTTGAGGTCAAAGTGTCATCATAAATATATCACTGTCCACATACCTCAGAGCCAAGATCATCTTTCTACACACATTACTACTGATGCATTTCACCCCCATTTCCCCCGAACAATCTTCTAACATCAGATAAAGCATTTTTCCAACTATTTGTAAAAGGCTCAAGTTGGGAATTTAATAGAAACTTCTAGGAACAGGAAGATGCACATTTTCCTACACAAAACAGCGTTAGCAAGTGATGTTTAAACCTGGGCACTGGCAGTAATCAAAATGGATTACTCACTTAAAATATAATGGACTCTTTTTTTTAAATGTATTCAATGTATTCAGTTTCCACGGTAATGCAATACTGGCAGTAATGGTGATCTCATGGTTGTGTTAGAGCTGACACAAAGATTGGAGTGACCGCTCTCTAAATTGTTAATAAACCAGTTGCAGTTTGTTTTTCTCTTTAATACCCAGTCAACAGTCATCAAGGAAGCTCAGTACAAAATGACACCTTTTCATGATTACAAACTTGAGTTGGTCTTGTTCCATCCATCCATCCATCTACAGTATATATCAGTGGTTTATTGCTATCTGAACTACCTGAAAATATTTAGGAGTCAGTGCATTTAAAGTGACAGTACACAGTGTTGAGACACAGAAACGCTATTATAAGACTAAAACAAGGCCACAGGGTTTATTAAATGGATGTTTAGACTAGTATTCAGTTTAAAATCATCTTTTGTAATCTTCATTCCACATGGGCTTATTTTTCTAATCGGAGGCCACTATCCCGTTGTTCATTAAAAGGATAAAACATGTGTGAATGAGAGAGGAAAGCAAAGGAGGGGATTTATTCCGGTGTCTGTGCGGCCGTGCTGAGTCAGAGAGTTTTGCTACAGGGATTAGAGCTTAAAGCCACCTGAAGAAACGGCTGAGCTTTTTACTGATTACTTATCACACTCCACAATGAAAATGTTTTAACTGCGGACAGCAGGAGGGGAAACCACACAAGAAGAACAGAACCAGCAAAGACACTGATGAGGTTTTAAAGTTGGTGTTCACACACTTATGAATCATGAATTGTGTATAATAAATATACAAATTTGTATATTTTTAATGGTACAGATAATCTGGTGGTACAGATAAGTATCTTATGCTCACTTAATTTATATCCACAAATATACTGTAGTAAAGTAGTAATAGAAATACTGAAATATTGTGGAATGATATTACAATTAAAAACAACTGAATTAAAATGTAATTTATATTACTGGGATGCAAAGCTGAATTTGCAGCATCATTGCTCCAGTCTTCAGTGTCACATGATACTTAAGAATCAATTTTAATTATTTTTTTTATTATTTAACAGCTTTTATTTGAAAAAAAAAAAATCTTTTTGTAACATAAATATCTTTACTATAAATATTTGATCTTGCTGAATAAAATGATTAATTTATTTTTTTTAAACTTTTGAAAGTTAGTCTACTTTAATTTTAAACAATTAACCCTCATGTTCTGCTGAGAGACTCCAATTATGTACATTTAAATGTCAAATACTTGTTATATGTTGCTCTGACCAATCCAAAAACAATTAGATGGAAATCATTAAGTGTGAAACATGGCTTTTATATATTATAGCAACAACTGTAACTTCCAATTTGGGGTCTGCTTGATTTGAGAGAGAATTTAAATAAAACAAATTCAATTGGCAGGAATGCATTTCTACGGTCCTTTTTGCATGTGAAAATCCATTGCAATTATTCTTTGTTTATATCTGAGGTCTCTGAGACTCCAAACCGAAGTAATATATTTCATGGAGGTCGTCGGATGCATGTTAGCAAGTTAAAATGATGTTTATAATCAGTTCTCATGAGTGCAGGAAGTCATCAACCTGATACTTCAACGTTAAGTATGTTTTCAAAGCTATAAAAAGAGTCTCAGACTCCCAAACAGAACATGACGGTCAATGAAAAAAATGATCAATAATTTATACTGTATATACCCAAGTTGCTCTCATGTTACTTTTAATTATGAAAAAAAAAAAAACACTTTTAAATACATAGCCTAATCTAAAATAGGTCCATTCTTTGTTAAGGGCTGCTTTAAAACAACACGTCTCAATATTCCTCCCCTCCCATCTATTATGAGCTTGCCAGTCAGTGGACTGAATATAAACACCTGTGTGTGTATCTGAAAGTTCATAAAAGCAGGTTTGGTGGTGAGAGGTATGCAAAGTGCACTTCTCCGGCCCGGCGAATCCTCTCCAATTAAATTTAAACAATCATTCAGCAGGAGAGTTAAGAATACAAGCAGGCCGGAGTGCCAGAGGGTCTTCTGCTCTCGCTGCCACCTGTCCCCACACATCAGCGCCACCCAACGGGCGCCAAGTCCTCCCCTCCGAAACCCCCTCACCCCGCAAGCTTTCCCTCCGGGTCTGACGGCCACACAGCTGGCCCGAACCATCAGCTTTATGGGAGCGAGCTGCCCTGATGCCAATTAGGATAACTGAGAACCACAGCAGCGAGCTCTCCAACACGGCTCTATTTATAGAGCTCTTCCTCAACAGTCTCCCTGGAAGAAATGCATTTCGCTGGCTTTTCTTTCTGTTTATGTCATCTACGCCTCATATCGGAGAAACGCGAAGCACCTCGGTTTTTAATGTAAGGGGTTGAGATGAGTGTGCTGATATGATTTAAGGGAGCATTATGTGGTTTGTGATGTTGCAGGGTAGATGGGAAAAGCATATTTCTGGTAGAAGGGCAACGCGTAATCAGATTTCGAGAGCAGAGAGGAAGAGAAAGAACGACGAGGGCTCATCGTCACGTTATAAATGAAGGTCGGTTAAGGAAAAAGACCTTGAAATCAGAGCTGTTTATTATTATTATTATCAATGTTAAAAACAGTTGTGTTACTTACAGTAATATTTTTTTGTGGAAACCGCAACACATTTTTATTCAGGATTCTTTGACAAAAAGTAAAAAATAGGGCTGTCAAACGATTAATCGCATCCAAAAATAAAAGTTTGTGTTTACATAATATGTGGTTGTGTTAATATTATTGTTAATATTATCATTTAATATTATATAAAATTGTGTTAATATAATATGTGGATGCACTGTGTATAATTATATTGTGTGTATATATATATATATATATAAATACACACACATGCATGTATATTTAAAAAATATATATATTTATATATAAAATATTTATATTTATATATAATACAAATTATATATAAATCTATATACAGTATATACATGAAAATATTTCTTAAATATATACAAGCATGTGTGTGTATTTATATATATATATATAAAATAATTATACACAGTGCACCCACATATATTATGTAAACACAAACTTTTATTTTGGATTAATCTTTTGGCAGCCCTAGTAAAAAATATCAGCTTTTATTTGAAATAGAAATCTTTTCTAACATCATAAATGTCTTTCAATCTGATGCGTTCTCTTGCTGAGTAAAAGTGTAAAAGATCTTACAGACCCCAACTTTTAAACATTTCAAATTGGACTCCAATATGTATGTATAGACGTAATAACATAAAATTGGAAATTAATTCTCCATTCAAATTCTTGTAATATGTTCCTCTGACCAATCAAATCCCAGTAGACAATAATTATAACATGAGAAAAGGACAACTTGTAATCAGATTTTTAGAGCAGAGAGGAAGAGAAGTTCTGATGGGGGCTCGCTGTCAAATTATAAATGAAGATCGGCTTGTGAAAAATGCCTTAAAATCAGAGGGGTGACCAAAGGCTCAGTTGTGTGTGTGTGATGCGATTGAGGCGCTCTCAGAGTTTTGCTTCTTTACCCAGCATGCTCAGCCAAGATAAAGTAAATAAACAGTGCAGGGTCGAGGGCCAGGGCTCCCTCACCCTTAAAACAAAACACCACCCCCATCAAACACCCTGCCTGAGGAACAAAGAGAACAAACCAGCCGCCGGGCCCCGTTCCACTGACATCCGAGCGCTGCTGTCATCTACACTCACCACAAAGAAAAAACCCTTCAAGAAGCTCAGCCAAAAAATGCCAAGTCTGTGATTTATTCCCTCAAACAAGGAAGCAGCTTTCTACATTCTTCAGACACAAAGCGGGTTTAAAAACACACGCATGTTGAACCCAGACTTTGCGATTTTTGTGCAAAATGTAATCTGGAGAATTAAAAGAGCAGTTGCACGAGTAAAATAAAAGCATGAGATCATTGACGAAGCCTGAGAATTTCAGATCGCCGTATTTCCCAAATTGTTTGTTTTGAAAGTTCAAATATAGCTTATGATGGTTTATATAAAAATAACAAATACAATGACCAAAGAAGTAAACTAGATCTTATTGCATGTTCATAACCCTTTTGAACCTGCTAAATTTGTCATTATGTATTGATACAATAATATCTCATAAATAAATGCAACAATTTAGATTTAACACACCATATATAGACATATTTTTGTATTTCCATTTTGGATATATTACACAAAATATGACATGCTTGATATACACTACAAAACGTTTGGGGACAGAAATGAATACTTTTATTCAGCAAAAATGCCTTAAAATGAAGCATACGACATAAAAAGATAATATTACAAATAGGGCTGTGAAACGATTAATCGCGATTAATCGCATCCAAAATAAAAGTTTGTGTTTAGATAATATTTGTGTGTGTATAATTATTTTGTATATATAAATACACACATATGCATGAATGTGTTTAAGAAAAATATGCTATTAATATATCAAATATTTATATTTATTTATAATATTAATTTTGTATAAATATATATAGAAAGTATATACATGCAAATATTTCTTAAATATATACATAAATGTGTGTGTATTTATACATGCAAAACAATTATACACACTACACACACGTATATTATGTGAACACAAACTTTTATTTTGGATGCGATTAATCGCGATTAATCGTTTCACAGCCCTAGTTACAAAAGATTTCTATTTCAAATAAATGCTGAAATTTCTAGTAATTAAAGAATCCTAAAAAAATATTAAACTTTTCAGAGCATGTTTCATGTTTCTCGAACAGAAAATCAGCATATTAGATTATGATTATGAAGGAAATCATGTGACGCTGAAGACTGGAGTTAAAGACGCAGAAAATTCAGCTTTGCCATCACAGGAATAAATGACATTTTAAAATATATTCAAATAGAAAACAGTTATATGGGTGGTTAGTATTCCACTATATTTAGTCAAATAAATGCAGCCTTCTTTCAAAAACATATATAGGGAATTTCTGAAAACATGTTTCTGAACTTTCATCAACTCACTTAAAGGGTGGTTTCGGCAAACACTTAATTAAACCTAACAATGAGACGTTTCTGAAGGACAAAAAACCCTTAAGAAGTGTCAATGGACATTCTCGGTGCAACTGGTTTGTAATCCACGCCTGTACCAGCCACATAACTCAGACAGCTGCGGGCCGAGCCGAATGCCTGCGAGGCCTCGACGCTCATATTAAAAAAAGAAACAATTACTCCGAACTCTGAGTTCCTCGAATCTGGACGCTGTACCCAAACAGACCCCTTTTCTGTGTATTTTTCTAAACTTTGCCGCAATATTTGCCTGTGTTTGCATTCAAAATACATCACTTACCCTTCCGAATCTGTTGGCGTAAGATCCTGTGAGCAAGGAATGGAAAACGATGATTGTTTCATCCAAGTCCCAAATGAACACGCGCTGGGAAAAGAAAGAGCAAAATCAATGGCTCACTCAGCATGCAAGATGATCTGATTGTCAATAAGAAGGATGCATGGATTCATGTGCCCTGGAAATGGTGGATATACAGCCCTGATGGCCACCACAGCACCCCGCAACTGCGGGAAGGACCACCACCGGACCATCCATCCCCTGCCCCTGATGCATTAACACAATCGATACCAACAAACTAATTAACTAGATTTGTTAACATGCCATGATGTCAGCTTGCTAATGGGGTCCGAAACCTTCCCGAGATTCAGATCATGTTAATGAAAAGACCACGACCCATGATCTGAACTGTGCGGCTCAAATACGATCAAGATATAAATAAAACCAAACTGAATTCTAATGTTGAGCTGTTGAGTGCTGACGATGATCAGAAATCGGCTCGTTCTAAAACGCAACCATGCAAGTGAAATGATCTGGTTTTCCTCTAGTCTTCATGTCGAAACATGTGACGTGCACACTAAATAAACTGACAGAATGCCGATTAAGGTGTTTGCATGCAAAGCGAAGCATGCAAAACAAAGCTTTCACCAAAAAAACTCTGTTTGGGGCATTTACATGTCGTAACATGTAAGATTGAGCATGTGAAAGCACACTTTAAACATGTCCGTGCATTGTTTTAAAGGTAAAGCAGTGAGCAGAACGGGATTATCAAGAAGAACTCTATACATGAGACACAGAGAGAGCGGCAGTGGTCCAATACCTCAAGGTCAGAGTCAGGAGGTGGGGATGGGTTATTGTTCCTCCTTCCCCGGCCACGTGACTTTCCATCCGAAGCTCGGCGCAATCGATCCGATTCTGAATCTTTAATGGGCGTTGATGGACTGTGGATTGTACTGTACTCTCCTGCAAGGAAAAAAGAAAGGCAAAAAGTATATCAAAAGAGGAAAATAAAAAAGGCTTTCACCTTCACATTGTGGCTGGATCCGTTTACCTCATCTGCCCACATGCTCTAATATCATGCTGTTTATCTGATCTCCTTCTACCCTAGATACCATTTCAGCTTTAGTTATGGCAATGAGGGTGTTATGCACTGTGTCATCCTTTCTTAAATTTGGGTTTACAAGCTTTTGGAAATAAAGACGTGAATGAAATACTGTTTATATTGTAATAGTTCGGTCCTCGACTTTGATTGGCTGAGAATCATTTCGAAAGTGCAGATAAATAGTCCAACTGTACTGAAAGGTTGCATTGTTTGTATCTGACTATCTGCATTTGCAGCATTCCAGGGAAAATAATTAAAAAACTAAATTAAGTATTTTAAATGCTACAAGTTATTATAAATATATAATATAAAAGATTTGCTAAAATGTGCTAAAGATTTGTATTAAATACAAAATTAATATTTCTAACCTTTATAATAATATATATATATATATATTTGTATGAAATATAAATGTATACAATTATTTAAGTTGAAATATTGTTATTTTTTAATCATTTTCAAAGATTAACACAGGTAATTGTACCCTCAACAATACTGATAAACAATGATAAGCCACAGAAGTGTCACACTGTAAGTAAAAAACAAAGAAAATTGGAAAGGTACTGGCAAAAAAAAAAATATTAAAAAATAAAAATAAAATTTTTCCTATAATCCTAGTCCCAGACTAAAATGCATGTTTGATCTGTCTTAACCGAAAGCTTGAACTGACACATCTTAAAACACATCAGTTAAAATATATAAATGCACATCATTAATGTTTATTTTAGGGCTGTCAAACGATTAATCGCGATTAATCGCATCCAAAATAAAAGTTTGTGTTTACATAATATATGTGGGTGCACTGTGTATAATTATTTTATATATATATATATATATATATAAATAAATACACACACATGCTTGTAATTATTGAAGAAATATTTTCATGGATATACTGTATTATAATTTATATTATATATAAATATAAATATTTTATATATAAATAATATTTTTTTCTTAAATATACATGCATGTGTGTGTATTTATATATATATATATATATATATATATATATATATATATATATACACAAAATAATTATACACAGTGCACCCACATATATTATGTAAACACAAACTTTTATTTTGGATGCGATTAATCGTTTGACAGCCCTTCTAACAGGCACATTCATAAAAGCTACTTAAATGCCCTAATTGAACTAAGGCCTAATCCAGGCTTAACCTAAGCCCAATATATAATTCAAAATACAGGTAAAGCTCTTTACGGGGAACTCCATAACATTTATGAATTTATTTTTGGTGCACCACCAGTGTTTAATGTTTCAGAACCAACCAATCACACAATCGTTACCTCTTTTCCCCCAAACAGAACTCTCTTACCTGCCGGTTGCTCTGAGAGGGCCTGGCTGGTGATCGCTGATGGAGGTTCCTGTAGGGTGTAGGTGGCAGTGGTGGAGGGTGTGGTGGGGCTGGTGTTGTTACTGGTCATGTATGGAGAGGTGTAGGGGCTACTGTTGTAATACTGCGCATACTGAGTCTGGCCAAAAGCTGGGTAGGAGGGGTAGTCCTGCAGAAAGACATCAAGGCGGTAATGTGAGATAGCAGCACACAACGCTGCTACTTTACAGCGCAGATTCCAAAACGTAAATGTGAACATATGTCTCCTGTGTGCTACATCTGGACAGCGATCTGTCTTCACTTTTTTCCCCCTCTGCTCGTGGCATAATTCATACGCGAAAAGAGCAAGAGGTAATCCTTGCGTACAGTGGTCGAGACATTTAGAGTGATTCATATCATGTGAGTATTATGCGAGCGTACACATGTTCTATAAAGACTTACAGGAGGAAGGGGGGAAAAAATACTGACTGAGCCCATGTGCCAAATGGAGGAAATACAATTTCAACGTGTGCTACAGACTAGATAGTCAGAGATAGAAATTCAGTTACAGCTACCTGTTGTGTACTATTAAATCCAGTTGAGTTTGTGAGGGAATTGCTTCCAGCGTAAAGCCCTGAAGTTGTTGTAAAACTGCCTCCTACAAGAGAAAGAGACATAATGGTGAGAAATCACAATGAAAAACACACAGAAAGACTGAATCGAACGAGGCTTTGGCTGTGTCTGCATTAATCGGGATAGATTTGAAAACAGTGTTTTCGTTTTCTCCACTCACCATACTGAAATATCGAAAAACACTTAAAGGGATAGTTCACCTAAAAACCCAAATTCTGTCATAATTTACTCACCCTCAAGTTGTTCCAAACCTTTATGGATTAATTTCTTCTGCTGAACACAAAGTAAGATTTTGAAAAATATGGGCAACCAAATGGGCAACATAGCATAGGGGAAAAAAATACTATGGAAGTCAATGTGGCCCATCAACTGGTTGGTTACCAACATTGTTCAAAATATCTTTTTTTTTTTTGTGTTCAACAGAAGAAATAAATTCATACAGGTTTGGAACAACCTGAGGGTGAGTAAATGATGACAGAATTTTCATTTTAGGGTGAACTATCCCTTTAAATCATAAAACATAATAAAAGCACACTTAGATGATAAATAGAGACCAGACATATTAAACTTCTCTATTCTTTTGGCACAGTCATTTTATTAGCAAAATATCCCACCACTTACTAATGTGTCAAGGTTGCACTCTATCTAAAATTCAATTGTGTTTTTTTCAGCCATATTCACAGGAATGTCATATGAAGATTGCACAAAGTGAAACTTATCTTTAGCAAGACTATGCAAGTGAATAGAGAGCCTAAGTCCCTCCCCTTTCGGTCGACCACCATGGGACCTTATTTTGGAAAAATATTGAATGGTAGTCAATGGCGAGAGACAACAAATATTTTGATCTGGTTTGAATTGTGCCCTGAATTACACATGTGATGTTTGTCAATTTAAAAGATACATTTTAAAGTAAAGAAAGTCGCAGTTTGATGTAAAACCGTTGAGGTATAAGACTGTGAAAATACGTAATTACAAAGACTACAAACCCCAAAGGCGCACAATTTCTCTCAATGAATGAAGCTAACTTTACTGAGGCTGTCTGTCATTGTTTCTACAGTCTTAGGTTATAATCGTAACGTTACGCCGTCCTACCTGAGTGTTTTGTACCAGACTGCACACACACGAGCAGCGGATCTCGTTTCGCTTCCCAGGAGATGTAGTTCACAGAGCGATTTTTACATAAAACTAAATGTTACTCTTCTGTTGTATGACATACTGCGACGTTTTTGACTTTCAGAATTATCTTTTAAATTGACAAACATCATATGTGTAATTGAGGGCACAGTTCAGACGGAATAAAAAGATAAGTTGTCTCTCGCCATTGACTAACATTCATATTTTTTCAGAAATAAGGTCTCATGAGCCGGAAGCGGAGGGGCGGGACTTAGGCTCTCTATAGAACACAGCAGAGACATAAGGCCAATTCACACCGCACAGACAAAATGCAAAAACACGTTTTTGGGGTTTGTCAGATCAGTGTTTGTCGGAGTTTGTCTGCGTTTTGTTTTTTCACCCGACTGAACATGTTAAATGAGCATTTGCCTGTGTCACAGAGTGAACATGACGGTTATTTTTCATAAAATTCGAAATCCAACGGTCAACTTGTTTTTTGGCGCTTTTCTGTGGTGTGAATTGGCCTATACCGGTACAGGTTTAATTCAAAGCCTTGTACGTAGGTACTATAGGGGCATGAGGGGTTGTGTGTGTGTTGGTGGGTGGGATTTAACAGTGGTTCTATCTTTTCTCTCTCCATATCAGTGATTGGATCTTGGCTGATGGTCGGAAAGAAAGAGGAAAGGGGGTTGGGTCTATTATTTCATCCATCGCTACCTTTACAATGACAGACACAGTGCCACTGTTGTGACCGAGGGGGAGGGAGATGGGAGGTCTTTTTTACCTGACATCCTGCCTCAATATATATGCATATCTGTCTTCTTTTCAAGCTGCTCAAAGAAGCACCTTCTGGGTAATTAAATCTCTATGGAGAGATAGCATCTAATGACTTAATAACATACATGACATGAGTTATAGGGGCGAGACAGCCTGAAGGTACGTCGTGTTTCGAGGTGTTTCTTGGAGTCAAAGTTCTCAAATCACATTGAAATTCTCAAATGGAGGGTTGGGGGAACTGTTTTAGAGGAATATTCTGGATTCAGTACAAGTTAAGTTTAATCAACGAAAAAAAAACAAAAAAAAAACAGAGGCACTTACAATGGGAGTGAATAGGGCCAATTTGTAAACATTAAAATAACGATTCGTTGGCTGAACAAAATATTACTTATAAAAATAATTAGATTAAACATACAAAAAAATAAGTATTCATAACTTTTCCAATATTTGAGTTCACGCAAAATTCTTTACTTAAAAATATATGTATCACATTACATATATTTTTAAGAATGTTGCATGAACTCAAATATTTAAGTACATATAACAAAGGTTTTATTGTTAATTTTAAGTAAAGTTATTCCAAGTTGAGATTACTTCAAAAGTATGATACAACAATGATGCATGCATATTTTAAGTAAATCCAACACATACTTTTTTTAGAGCGTAGTTTCAATATTATAGTCATAAGATGCAAATAATTTCTTAACGTGATTTCTGTAAATGGCTTACTAACCCTGACAACATATGTTACATATATATATATATATATATATATATATGTTATTTTGCGATGTGATTTTGTAATTTGTATTAGTTTAAAAAAAATATTTCTCTATTTAGCTTTCAATCAAGTTTTAGTTTTAGAAATTGTAGTAGTTTAAATTAAACTTATTTTATTACAGTAATTTGCAAAGGCCTTTATTTCATGTTAATTTTAATTAACAAAACCAATTTTAATAGTGTTAGTTTTAGTGAATTACACCAACACTATACATACTAATGATAACAAATTTACAGCTGAAGAGATTCACAGGTTTCACCAGAAGAAGTAAAAGCTTCTTATTTCTTCTAAATCCTCCAGAAACGGGCACCCTTCACTTCCATTGAAAGCGTGTTTCCATGTTTGCTTCTTTACAGAACCCCCCCCCCCAAAAAAAAAAAAAAAAAACGAAGGAATATTCCTTTTAATAAGTTTTAGAACATTTTCCCAGAAGTTTTCTTTTGCAAACAAACATTACCTGTCGATAAACTAATGAGCATAACCTGCTGCTAAAAGTTGTGGGTAACCTTGGAGTCATCAGTTATCTCTTTTACAGCATTCACAACATGAAATGGCCACAAAATTAACTCAATGTGTTTAAATAAAGGGTTACTGTACAGAAGCTCTCAATAACAACAAAAAAACAGAAGCAAAGTCTTTCATCTTCTGGTCTTCTGGAAAATGGGGAGGGGGTGGGGACTGTAACAAACATACAACAGCTTTACTTGTGGACTACTGTCTGGCTCAACCAACACGTTTATTTCTTTTGTTCCATTTTCTCATCGTGTTTTCTGTTAAATAACAGCAAGAGGTGCTCTAAAAGCTGTTGACTTCCTCTCCAGACTTGGGCCGCCATTTAAAGCGAGACGCATCAAACTCCCATTGCACAACAAATTAGCTAAATCCACAGTTCAAAAAGTCATAAAAGCCAGGACTCGTAGGAAAGCAGTTGACTCCAGAGAGAGTCCGGAGCCACATAAAAGCCAAGCAAGACCCCCTCCGGTCCCAAAAGAATGACTCCATGCTGGGGAGAGGCCTGGTTTTTTCCCAGGGGCAAAAAAACTCCCCCATTCCTCCCCCTTCTCCGCTCTGTCTTGCTCCAGTTAGTTCACTCAAGACGAGACACTGGCTCTCCTTATGGCCTCTCCAATTGGGAGTCCATTTGCTGTGCTTGATCAGTCCTCTTGCCATGGGCTATGTCTATCATCAGTGCACAATATTTGTAGCAGAAGTTTTGTAGGCCTCTCTAGGGAGCAAGCGATCAAGTCCAGATGGGCTTCTTTAAAAAGCAGTCTGCTGCTCCTCTCACACTGTGTGCAGAATGGAGGGAGGCACAATTGTTGCTGTAATTATCATCTACTTTTAGTGAGAGAAAAAAATCGGCGAGATGCACCTCTCTCATGCTCTAGAGCCGTTATGTTTATGGAAAAGGAAGCAAAGCTCAAACAGGTGTGAAACTGGAACATTAAATCCTAATTTATACTTGGATGTACTGAGTGAAAGGCTGTCAGGAAGATTCATAGATGTCAGAGCAAATTAAATCTCAGATAAATTAGAGAAAATTATTATTTCTTTATTAATTAAAGCTCATGCTTTATTTTATATATATATATATATATATATATATATATTATTTTCATTTATATATATATATATATATATATATTATGTGGAGAGTTTTCATGGCATCTGTTTGTATATAGTTCAGTGAGCCTTGATTTGTATCTGGTATGTTAACTTAAAATAAAAAATATTGATCACAAAAAAAAAAAAAAGCTCATGCTTTTATGTTTCATTTATTTCTATTCATATTAATTCGGACTAAATTTATGTATTTATTTATTTATATTTATTAATGTAAGATCATACGTAAATTAGTATATTTACGATTATTATCATTATTTAGATTAATTAAAAAAGTTTGTATCTGTATTAAAGCAATAAAGCTCATATATATATATATATATATATATATATATATATATATATATATAAACTACCGGTCAAAAGTTTTAGATCAGTAAGATTTTTTGATGAAATCAAAAAATGAGTAAGATGAGTAAGATTTTTTTTGATCAAATGAAGTCTCTTCTGCTCACCAAGGCTGCTTTATTTGATGAAAAAAAAACGACAAACAGTAATATTGTGAAATATTATGACAATTTAAAATGACTTTTTTCTATTTTAATATATTTTAAGATGTAATTTGAAAGCTGAATTTTCAACATAATTACTGTTGCTGATTACACATCAGTTTTCAGTGTCACATGATTCTTCAGAAATCATTCTAATATGCTGATTTTATGCTCAAAAAACATAAATTATTATTTTCAATGTTGAAAACAGTCGTGTACCATTTTTCCCCCAAAAATTCTATGATGAATAGAAAGTTCAAAAGAACAGCATTTCTTTAAAATCTTTTCTAACATTATAAATGTATTTACTGTAACTTTTGATCAATTTAACTCATCCTTGATGAATAAAAGTGTTTTCTAATTTCTTTCCCCCAAAAATAAAAAAAAATAAATTCTTACTGACCCCAAACTTTTGAATGGTAGTGATTAATGTTTTCCATTTCAGATCAATTCTGTTCTTTTGAACTTTCTATTCATCAAAGAATCCTGAAATAAAAATGTAAAAAAGTGTTTTCAACATGGATAATAATCATAAATGTTTCTTGAGCATCATATTACAATAATTTCTGTAGGATCATGTGACACTGACGACTGGAGTAATGATGCTGTAAATTCAGATTTGATCACAGGAATAAATTATACTTCACTATATATTCACATAGAAACCGCTGTTTTAAATTGTAATAATATTTCACAATATTACTGTTTTTTTTTTTTTTTTTGGTATTTTTTATCAAATAATTGCAGCCTTGGTGAGCAGAAGAGACTTCTTTTAAAAACACAAAAAATCTTACAGATCTAAAACTTTTGACCGGTAGTGTATACACACACACACACTGCCACCTCTGCAGCATTGCATCAATAAATTGCTTTTTTAAATATATTAAAATGCAAAACAGTTTTTTAAATTGTTTAAAATATTTCACAATATATTATAAAAATATAAAATATAAAATATAAAAATATATAAAATATTTTTTTTACCGTTTTTTGGATCAAATAAATATAGCCTTGGTGAGAAGATGATGATAAATCTTACTGATCTAAAACTTTTGAACCGTAGTGTACAATATACAATTACTTGATATTCAGATTAATGAATCAAAGGAAATAATCACAATATTTACTGAGAAACTCAATAATTATTCAATTGTGGCATACCAGTAAATAATTCAATAGACATCACAAGAAGCAGCTTTAGAAGTCAATATATTATTTGTTTTATTTACATAAAATTAAACAAAAGCCTGATCAGCCTGATTGTTCAAATTACCATATTATATTATCTCACTATTTTGTGATATATACACTAAATGATAATCCCACAACGTGTGACGACTCCAGACCTCATCATTTTAAGCCAGGAAGGTTCTTCTGTGTTACATTTCTGGATCGTGATCAGAGAAAGCCAGTGCCGTTCCATTAGACATGAAAGAGCACTGTAAAAACATTAATTTAATTGTATTCCCACTGACAGCTGGGTGCAGGCTCGCTCTACGAGGGTTATGGGACAGCAGTTGGTATATCGTATAGATGGGGGGGTCTACATTTGGCTACCGTGTTGAGACTTTTCCTCTGAGTCCAGACCTGCCTAATCGATGAGGCACAGAGAGGAAGCCAATAGAGACAGACTGGCCTGGTTAATGATCATCTGTCATCTACTCTTGCAGTTAGTGGCTAATGTGTTTATGGCTGCATGGGCTTTGAAAGGAAGACTGAAGGCACCTCAGTTTCAGATTAACAAAAAAACTCTATGCACAGTGGCATTGTTAGATGATAGTTAAAGGGATATTTTATGCAAACAATTTTAATTCTGTTGCAAACATTCCAAACCTTTTAATTCCATTCCAAACCAGAATGCTGTTATTTTTAGTGAAAAACGAATTTTGAAAGACATGAGCTGCGTGAAGATGATCTTCAGGTTTGAAATGACATAAAGGTGAATAAATTATGGCATAATTTACATTTTTGGGTTAACTATTCCTTTGAGGACTATTCATACCAAATTTTGCACAAAAACAGACGAAATGAATAAACATTAACTTAACATAAAATTTTTAAATGATACAAAATATCTCTACAAAGTCCAAAATATCCTATTGTGATGAGTATTCAAGTGCTTTTATATGACAACTAGGTTGATTTTTTATCATCTGGAAGCTAAACAAGGTCCTTATTCCCAAAATGATTCCAAAATTGTCTCAGATTTGGTATCAGTCACCTTGTGAATAGATTTGATGCACACTTTGGGTTCTATACTTTCATGACATTTAGTCTTATTGGACTTGAGCGGTGTGAACAGGCCTTTAAACTTCTGCGGTCGGTAACACTTACAACCCTAGTGTTGGAGCAGCATCAGCAGAAACAGAACATTTCTACTTACGAGGCATGGAAAAGAAGCTTCCACAGACCACATATGTCACATTATTTATTGTGAGATGCTCTGGAGAGATTTCAAAAACAAGGAGATGTTTCTACTGTCACACATTATTTGGAGATTAGAGAGCTCAAACCAGCACTAACCGTTGGAGGCCCGAAGGAAAACACTAGAGGGAGAAACGGAATGACAGAAAAAGACTGTTGGCTTTGGAGCTGGGACAATGTCTCAGAAAAAACAAAACGAAAAGAAAAAACACTGGGTGGCAGGAAATTTGCTTGATGCACGTTTAATTCCCAGTGCGCAAGTGTGACTTCCATGAACTGACCTCAAATACGAGAGTACTTGAGAATGTACATGGCCAAGTGCGAAGTAGAAAAAGATTGGTCTTAAAGAGGAAAAAAGGGATTTTTTTCCATCTGTGTTGTTTCTCTTCAGGCCTAATGCAAAAAAGACTGTGTCCAACTACAACCTAATACAACCATCTGCTCGGGGATGTTACGAATTGGTCCGTGTCTGCCATTAATTGCGTCCTCTTTTGAAGGGGGCTTGAGAGGAATCACCGCTCTATTTTGTCACTGCATTGGGAAGAGCAAAAAGGGAAAAGAGAAGAGGGTGATCCTGACCTTGCATCTGGTAACTGTAGGGCGCTTGTCCCGTCTGAGGCGTAGAGAAGCTGGAACTATAGCTGAGGAAACCACTCTGGCCTGGAGACTGGGCCTGGGTCAATCCACCCTCTGTCTTGATGCCTGCCCACAATGGACCTAAATCAGTTAGTGACATCAGAGCAGCATGATGCACAATCCTCAGTGATACTCTTTCCACTTTAATCCAAAATGAAAGATAATGGTGGCTTGTTTCGCAAAGGGCCATGGTTCAAGCAACCTTTGCATTGAAGTGTTTGCGCCAAACCCAGCACAGATTTCCAAGAATTTGCTTGTAGGAGTTAAAACAAACCATTTTTTTGATTAGATTGAATCAGGCCCAATGAAGGTTTGCGTTTTGCTTCCACTCAAACAAACATGTGAACTCTCGGGAGCATATTCGAGATTGTTCTACCTAAACAACATTATCTGTGCGCATATTTTCGCAAAAGGTTTCACAACGTTCAAAACCCTTGGAAAAACATTTCCAGCTTGAGTTGGGTTCAGTGTGTACAGGATAAACTGAAATCTTTATATCTCCCATATCTGTCGAACTAGCATGAAATTAGCAACTGTCAGGGGGAGTCACTGAGTCTGCAAACGCAAAACAAAAGGTCAGCAGAGTCCCAAGTTTCGACTGAAGGTGGGAAAAGGAGCTGCTAAGGGCTGAGGTAAGCGTTAGCATAATCTTAGTGATCAGTACATTGTTAGCTAAGCTTTAGAATTAATCTTTAAGTGCTAAAAGCTAACATGTGTCTCATTTTATGACTTTCAGTTTAATAAACTGCATCAATGGAGGAGCCAATAAACATTAAATATTGGCCTGTTTTCACCAAAAAAAGGAAATATCTGAAAAGTGGGGTATGTACAATAAACCTGGTAGTAAGGTTTAAAAAGTTAGCTAATGTAATGTTTGCGAAGTAGGCTAAACATTATTAACAAAAATATGAAATTGTTTATAAAGATGTTGAAATTTCAATCACTGTCTGCAAATAAATAAATAAAATTAAATTACATTTCAAAAATGACCGAAATTCTGAAACATTTGCACTCACACCTTTTAATAAAGATTCCATCATTCCATATTAACGTATTGTATTGTATTATGGCGGAAAATATAATACCCAGATAGCAAACTGACATTGAATCAACGTGGAAAAATGACATCGAAACAACATTGATCTGGCATTGTTTTGCTCGTCGAATTAACGTTGAACCAACGTCAGACGCGTCATTTTTCAAAACTAACGGAAAATCAACATGAAATCAACGTTGTTTCAACGTTAGGAAAGCAAACCAATTGCAAACCAATTACCAATTTTCATTTAGCTTTGTCTGAATGTCTGACGTTGGTTCAACATTAATTCGATGAGCAAAACAATGTCAGATCAGCGTTGTTTCGATGTCATGAGGGACGTCGTTTCCACGTTGATTCAATGTCAGTTTGCTGTCTGGGTATGGCGGTCTTTATATATTAGGTGTCTTTAACTACTATGTACAAACATTTTAATTAATGATTTGACACAACGCACTTATGTATTTACATTATGATAATAATTACCTGAATTTAATTATTTATGTAATTACAGCAATGATTACACTTTTGACCCTTCCTTTCTGTTTTCCCCCACCGATACCACCAAACCTGTCTCTAAACGTATCCATATTCCACCTCAATAGCAGCACAAGTGTTTTGCAATACAACATCAATACAATAAGTACATTGTAGTTATTTTTGGATGCTACTACATAGTGGTTTAAGACACCAAATATAAAGTGTGACCTAGAAATGTGTTGTAAGGGTGGGAGTTCATCTGCTTGAGTGAAAAGCAAAGCCCAAACAAAAAGCTTTAAGGCATAGAAAAGAATAAAGTGAATGAGTTACCATAGGCTGGAATCCCGTAGGGCTGGCCTGGCTGAGAGTACGTGCCATAGGCAGCAGCCTGCTGCATTCCTGTGGTGTATTGCGTCTGTCCGTACGCGGCCATATTTTGGGCGGAAGGAGTCGGAAGAATGTGTGGATAGGGTCTGCTATTTGAGAGCAAAGTAAGAGAAAAGAGAGACGTGTAGTTTTACCCAAAAGCCCATCTCGTAAAATTTGCTCAAAGACAAATTCTGTGTGATTCTGCTACTTAATCATAAATATTTGGCCAAGCTGTGCAACGTAGAAAACTCTAGCCATTAAGCAGCTGATATACATTGCGAAAGAAAAATAAATCACACGGGAAATTTTCGCAAGATAATAATTACAACAGATTTTGGAATATGCAAGCTGCAGACATCAATGAAAACAAAGCAGTCGGAGAGTCCAGAATCTGGCAGAAGGATCTAATTAAAGGCCCAAATGAAGTTGGATGCTGCTTATTTTTTAAAGAAAAATAAAAGAAGCCTTACTTGGAAGGGTAAATCTGGGGAGAGAACTGGTGAGTTTGTCTTGGGCTGAAGCCACTGGTTCCAATGGCTGTGGAGAGTTAAAAAGAAAAGAGGCAAGCACATTCGAACATTAAAAAATAAGGCAAATATTATTCTTTGCCAACAGAACTTCTGGAATCCAAGGAAACAGTAATTACATTGCATTACACTATTTATTTCACTAACCTTATTTTAGGTTGATAAATTAAGAGCAATAACGAAGGAAAATAATCAGGTAATATGGGAGCGTTTTTCTGCTGACTTGTATACATAAAAAAAAAAAAAAAAAAAAAAAAAAAAAATACACCGGATTGGAAGGCCTAGAGTCCACAAACACGCACACACACAGAGCTGGGAATGATGTATAGCTGTGCACACTGGAGAGGGTTTAAAGTGGACTGTACAATGAGAAATCATCAGGCCTGATTACAGGTAAGTAGTACACATAAGGAGCCTTCATTAGACACATACCGGCCCCGTGGTTCCCAGCCCTTAATGACGGTGTGGAGGGCCATTCAGTTAACTCACACAAACACCAAAGAGCAACATGAGATCTTTTGATGTGCCAGTGAATGCATGACTTAAGTCTGGGAACTTGCGCTCAAATTGTAGTGCCCTTAAAAGGTACCTTTCACGGCCTACCTTTTACATTTCAAAAATGTAATTTTCTAAAAAAAATCTATTATTATTAATATTAATTTATGTTTAACAACAACAGGAATAATAATAAGAAAAAAATTAGTGCCGTCAAACGATTAAAATATTTAATCATGATTAATCGCATTAATGTCGTAGTTAACTCGCGATTAATCGCAAATTTTTATCTATTCTAAATGTCTCTTGATTTCTTTTTCCTCACGTTATTTTTTTCTTATTTTAATGCTCTTATCAACATGGAAAAGCGGATTGGATTGCTTTGTGCAAATGTTTTTTATTTTTTTTATTGAAAACAACATTGGCATATACGGTGTTCAATTTCACACTAACATTCTCACTTGGAGCAAATAATCTCTCACACAACGTAACACTGCCCACCAATAAAAGGGTGAAAGAAATACTGACGAGGTCCTGATATTGACGAGGGGGCGGAGAATTCGCATCATCTGTGTGTGTGTGTCTGCGTGCGCCTGGCAATAAAGTGGTATTTTAGACTGGACGTGCTGCGTTCACAACGACAAAACACACAGATCACTTTGGTCTTGTCAATTGAACCATTTGGCAACTTTTTTAGTAAAGTTTCCATTCAGAATCTTATTGGCATCCATTTCGGCGTCTCGCGCTCGTCATCTACTCAAAACGTAACGTTAACCAACTATTTGGCTGGCTCGCAAGCCCAAACGAGTGTGTGCGGCGTGCCTGTTGTTTTGTTTCAAAAAATTGACGCCGTTAAAACGGGTTTGCGTTAACGCCGTTAATAACGTTTTAACTGACAGCCCTAGAACAAATATGAAGAAACTTTTAATTGTAAGTATTCGACTTTCTTTTTTTTTTTTTAAATAACCACTACTAATAATATCATTAGGCTGGCTATTGCCATTTATAGATTGCTAGATATAAGCCTAGGTCCTTTGTGCATTACCATTTATAGGGTTTGGATGTCTTTCTTTGGGTTGAAGGTATTATGAATATTGTGATTTTGTGAATAATTGGCTGTGACATCTAAAGTAAGGGCTAGTTAAGTACATGTAGCTCTTGCTCGATGTAACTGTATTCTCAGTGCCCTGAAAACGAAGCCTTTTCCCCCACACTTCAGCACCTGGTCTGGGCAAACACAGAACTTCTGCACAACTGCATCCCTCGAGTATATAACAGTCTCAAATGTCTTCATTTCATTCATATTCTCAGAGATAGAAGTCCGAGCCATGAATTATAAGAGTCTAACATAAAGGTATCAGGTACTTAGTCAAATAGGTAGGGAAATAAGACAAATTAGCAGGAATGTAATACTCCATGAAAAGTTTTTGCATTTGCTTAGTAAGTAATGTGAGGAGTCTATAACATGAAGTCGATCTATCTAAATTTGTATGCGCAAGTTTGAAGAAAGACCATTGAGAGTGTAACATTTTTGACAGGGTGAAAGTGAGCTGTTTTTCTGTGAAACGATTAATCGCGATTAATCGCATCCAAAATAAAAGTTTGTGTTTACATAATATACGTGTGTGTAGTGTGTATAATTATTTTGTATATATAAATACACAGACATGTATATATTTAAGAAATATTTGCATGTATATACTTTATATATATATATATATATTTATACAAAATTAATATTATACATAAATATAAATATTTGTTATATTAATAACACATTTTTCTTAAATATATACATGTGTGTATTTATATATACAAAATAATTAGACACACTACACACACATATATTATGCTAATACAACTTTTATTTTGGATGCGATTAATCGTGATTAATCGTTTCACAGCCCTAATGTTCAGTTAAGTTCCTTAGAAATAAAGGCAATCAATTTACTCGTCTTACAGTTGTCAAAATTAAATCCAAAGTTCAACGATTTAGAAAGCCTGAATCATGCATCTAAAAGTGTGAGGGCCACGGTGACAGGGTGTCACTCGATTATGGCCGAGAAGGGGGCTGGGAGGGTCATAACTCAACGCCTGTTGGCATGGGAACTGAGACAGAGCCTCATGCTACTCGAACCCCAGCCACAGGGACACTTCCTGGGCCTCTGCTTATCAGTAACCCATCTCTGGGATCATCTCCCACCAGTCAGCTCTACAGCTTTGAGTGTGTGCGTGCCGTACCTGATCCTGAGAAGCTGTCTAGAGAGCCGTCTGCTACAGAGGTGGCGATTTCACTGCTGCTCATTGGCTCTGTTTTAACTGCAAACAGAAGGAAAGCAGAGCATTTGTGGCACAGCACTAGCACTAGTCAGTCACACTACAGGCAAACGCCTCTCTGCTTGTAAAACCAACATACTTAATCTCAAGGTAATGTGCAAATTTAAAGCATAGCAGAAAAACAAACTTCTGTAATTGTCAAAGTGCTCATCCAGATTGTTTCATTGGCTCACAATGTGAAAGCATCATTAGGAGGTTGGGTTTTGTAAGGATGTAATGCACTGGGGTTTCTATTGAGATAATAGAGCTTTCAGGGTTCCACAGTTCTGTCCTAGCTAACTCACAGGAGAGGCCAATAATTAAAGCTAATCTCTTTTACAAATAAGACAAGGACAATTCCCTTCCAATACACACAGCTCGGGTGTTGATTTAAGGACAACAGCCATAATACATCTTATTAAAATGCAAAAACCTCTCCAATCTACTTCTGACAGAAAGACATGAAACAATGTTCAAAAGTTTGGGGTCAATACGTTTTTTTTCTATCATTTTTATTTTATTATTACTAAAATTACTAAGTAGCACAACTGGCATCAACATAATAATAAAATAATAACATAAAAAATGTTTCTTGTGCCGCAAATCAGCATATTATGTGACACTGAAGACTTGACTAATGGTTGTTGAATATTTAAAAATAAAAAATATATATTTAAAATTAATAATATCCCAAAATATTACTGCTTAAATAAAAAAAAAGCACCCTTGGTGAGCATAGGAGATTTACAAACACCAAAATCTTACCAACCCCAAACTTTTGAATGACAGTATATACATATGGTTGTTTTTTTTAAGATTACTTTTTCTACATTGAAAGTTGACCTTTTATTTAATGCCAACTGATCTATTCTAAAGGGTTAGTCACTTGATTTCTTACCGGAAGGGTTTTATGTAGCATCAAGGGAAAACAGGCAAAAAAAGGTGGAATTTAATGGCAGGAATAAACTGTGGAATGCATGGACGTGCACCATAATTGATATGTCAAGGCAATGCATGGTGTATAAAAAAAAGGTTTTGACCCAACCTCTCGAACTACAATGAGGGCAACCAGGAGACGATTTCACAGCGTTTAGACAGGCCCGGATCTTTGAAATGAATCCATCTCTGTCTCAGGAGGGGGTGGGGTGCAGGTTTACATTTATGAAAACAAAATTCTCTATGTGGGTACAGAGTCATGCCCACTGAAATCCCTCACGGCTGAGGTAGCCATCAGCTTGTCATGTCGAACATGTTGCAGCTATGCTCTCCCTCAAAGGAACACATGTCGATGAGGAGCGGTTTGAATGCGTACCAACGCTCCCCCCACCCCTCCTTCTCGAAGGGATACGGGAAAATAGCGGCACGGCACATGCAGAAACTAGTGCAGTCAAGTCTTATCACATACCACACATAACCATAAAACCGTCCTACAGAACATCAAATAAAAAGGCTAAACGCACATTACGCGTGCCCACAGCTTCACCACCATTCATTGAAAGAATGGAATCAAAGCCAAAAAGTCTCAAACCATGCTTTCAACAGATTCACCATAACACAACACAGAATGCCAAACAAGAGTCCAAATGAAAGGCACAATAGTTGAAGAGATGTGAGCACATCCAATCGGCTTTTAATCAGATTTGAATTGGCAGAGTGAAATGACTATAAAGCGTGTGTAGTTTCACATGTGACGCCAAGTATTGGCCTTTCATCGTTTCGCCAGAACTGCACAAACCTGCAGCGGACTGTGAACTAGAACTTAACAACCAGTCAGCTGTGGTAAGCATAGTGATGTTATCACCTATGGGGAGAAAGAACGGGACAGGACACATGACAATCTGCACTGTCACAGGTTGGGGCTTATCACTACAGAAATGGAGAAAAACCACAGTCAAGATTACATTATGTAAACTACTTCAGAGCTGAATACAATTTTTATGGGCTGTAACATGATCTGTGAAAACACAGAAAGATCTACAGTTTATATAGTGCACGTATTCATGTAGTTCTAAAAGTGCACTGTTGCATGAAGAATAATTTGTTTAAACATTTAGAATTAAAATATTACAGCAAGGTCAGGGAAACACATTCACATATATATTTATTATAAACAATGGTGATGTTTTACTCATAAGAGCAAAACATATCCATCAGAGCAAAAACAATTAGATGTTTAACACAGATTAACTTTTCACAATAGCATAAATGCTATGCAAAGAGAATGTGGATGTTAAAAATAGTGTGCTGTAGCACAGCAATGAAGGTATACGACCAACGGGAGGTTGAGAAAACGTACCTTCAGTGCCATTTGGTGTCATGGAATTGTTATTTATATGCGAGTTGTCGATGTTGGGACCGTTTGGGGACTCACTGCTTCCACTTACTCGGCTGTGTGGACTAGCTAGATCCTGCATTTCCATAGACCTGAGAGGAAGAAACACACAGACAGTCACATGCTATTGAATGACACACGCCCACACACACACACACACACACACACACACACACACACACAAACTAATCAACAGGAGATCTGAAATATGAGTGCTCACTAGAATAAATATTGATGTATTGCATTTACTAAAAAAAATGATTAAATAATACACTTTTAAAATTAAAACATATAGGCTACACGAACAAATATGTCTAACCACATTATTCACTGTAAAAAAAATATATTTTCATGATTTGTAATCACAACATTTTTTTCTTTTGTCAAATCAACTTAAATAATTGATTTAGTTCAGATAACATATTATTTTGAGTTTCTGATGGTCAAATCAATCTCCTTCGTTGTATTAACTAAATTTTTCCATTTCAATGAACTTAAAATTAAGGGAATCGGGTTACTTCATTTTTTTAAGTTAAACCAACATTATTATTTTTTTTACAGTGTTGGTAATCATTCTTAAGTAGCTAGAATATATATATATATATATATATATATATATATATATATATATATATATATATATATATATATATATATAAGTAGCTAGAATATATTTTTCCCTTTTAGCTACATGTAAAACATATTATGAAAATTATGAACGATAATACAAATAATAATTATCGTTTAAAAAAAAAAAACTACACCAACATTATTATTTTTTTACAGTGTTGGCAATCATTCTTAAGTAGCTAGAATATATATATATATATATATATATATGAAGAGTTCAGATGCAAAAGCCTCTAAGTGCCATTTGAAATTTTCTTCTAAAATGACCATTTTTATCAAACTTGTATATTTAAGTTCACTAATTTCACTTAAATGGCAATGAAGATTGCCTATTAATTGTCATTTAAGTGAAATTACTGAACTTAAATATACAAGCTTGATAAAAATGGTCATTTTAGAAGAAAATTTCAAATGGCATTTAGAGGCTTTTGCATCTGAACTCTTCATATATATATATATATATATATATATAAGTAGCTAGAATATATTTTTCCATTTTAGCTACATGTAAAACATATTATGAAAATTATGAACGATAATACAAATAATAATTATTATCGTAAAAAAAAAAAAAAAACTACATTAGACAAGAACATTCCAGCAGCTCTCCAGAGAAATGCGCTTAACACGGACCTTCCCCTGAGGCACATCAAATGACATTTGACACAAATTTAACAATTAATGAGACATCTGATGATTGATTGACTTTCTCATTTTAAGCATTAAAAATTAACCACCACTGGCCCCTTAGCGCACGCTGCAATTTTCATACGTTCATTTCCCCCAGCGATCTCTGATCTGAAGCCGTGTGAGAGAGGCGTGTGATTGCGAGGCCTCAAACCTCGACTGAAGAGTTCACTAAAGCATGCTGTTTGCTCTGGCGAGCGTCTTAATTGTTTCTTTGTTTATGTACCGAGGGCCACGCCACTGAAAACATTATTCTACTGGCTCCATCGCGCACTCGCGGGATTTTATTATGCATAGCAAATGGAAGGTCAGGCCAGTGTGCGTCTGCGGTCGGATGTATGTTACGGGTGTTTGTGTGTGATGTGAGCGTGGCCGCGAAACTAAAACACACATCAGTCTTCAGAAAAGCATTATTGCGCTAATTGCGGCAAAAACATAATGCCTTGCGTGCCGCTCTGCCAGAATCAATTAGGAATGGTCGTGTCCCTGCTATCAACAAACATTTGGATTTTTTTATGAATAGCAAAGAGGAGGAAACAAGAAACGTTTTATCAGCGTAGATTATCATACCTCTTTTTCTTGATCGGCTATAAAATATCCGTTACAGCTGGTCGCAGTTAAAACAAGGGAAAAATAATCCATGCCATGGAGATGTAAAAAAATAACGTCAGTTTCTGACACAAACCGCATTTGTCAAATGTTTTCCTTTTCTGATACCCCTAAATCCCTCTGTCCAGTTTCTTTCACACTTCCAGACACTTTCTCCAGAAGTTCTGAAAACCGGTGCACTTTGCTAAACAAGTGGTTGCTTTCCAGTGATGCTGCTGGCAGCAAATCAACTCCCTCTTACCTGAAACTGGACAAACCTCAACCATCTGTCAAACAATGTTCCCCCCCCCCCTCCCTCTCTCCTTTTCTTTCTTTCTTTTTTCTTTCTTTCTGTCCTTCCTTTTTCTTTTCTTTCTTTCCACCTGCCAGGACCCTAAAAACAATATCCCTCCTTGTTATTTCAGCTCAGTGTCTCTGTGAAGACCCATCCGTGACACAATAGACGTTGTCTGAGAAAACATTTTTGTTATTCTCACACAGAATGGGAAGAGAGGAGTCGGTGGAACAGAGAGGCACATTGTCTGGTAGGCTCAACCCCTCCACCGTTGTTTCCTCCTTCCAGGTCTTCCCTCCTCCCGGGCCCGGCCGAATGACGGAAAGGTGATTCATCATTGGCCTCCGACAGCTGCAAACTGGATTAGTCCTCCCCCAATCAACATGCAAAGCGGCTTAGCCAAGGTAAGCAGGAAAGGGAGGGGCGGGTGTTCGGAAAGGGGGGGGTGTTTGGGTTAGCGAACTGGGGGCGCCTGCTTGAGGTCGCTGCCGCTGTTGCCTCCGAAAGTGTATGGGGAGGGGGGGGGGGTCTGTGAGAGATGGGACTTTGTTGAACAGAAGCAAGTCAAGCATGACACCCCTAGCATCTTTCATCTGCAATTGACACTATCTGAAATTTATCTACACTCCCCCTCTCCAGGCACACTGGCAGTTCCTAATGACGGTCAGGGGGATGATTGGGACTTCGCCTGAGGGTTTAGGGAACGCCGGACCACTATAGATACCATCCTGTACAATAAATCCGAGTGTATTGAGTGCATCTCAATATTAATATTATGTAATATTATCCTGATATAGTAATCATTATGAGCACAAGTTGTAATTGCTGCCTAACACGTTTGTTGTGTTGTTGCTAACCTGAATAAATTAACTATTAACATTCATTATATTACATTTTCGCTATATTTCCGCTATATGGGCATTACTTTGACACTCATCTCTGGCTGATAACAGAATATTTATTGTTAAAAGCACTGAAAAAAAATTCTGTAAAGCTGTTTTGATACAGCATATATTGTGAAAAGCGCTATGCACTGCCTTACATTTTTAGTACAATGTACTTTAGTACCTTAAGTACAATCAACTTGGATGTTAAAGTCATTTCAACTTAAATAACAATAAATTGACTTAAAAAATGAGTGACAAAAACCTTTTGATGAGCAATGTAAAAACATATGTTATTGATGATATATATTTTTTACAGTGTATAAATAAACTTGAATCTTGTAAAAATCAGTCCACATATGTTTCACATGACACTTCAAATGTCGCTATTACTCTTTTTTTTGTAGTCGACAATTACGTTTTGCCGTCCACTTCTGCACGGATACCTGCGGCGCTATTTCCCAATATCGGACCGGAGCCGAACTGTTGGATCTAGGTCACAGTGATCCGGCCTTTCCACCAAAAATGTCTGAAAAATCCCTGCATGAATTTTTAATGCTGGGCTGTTTTCATGATGTAGTAACCCGAGCTGTTTGGTCTTGGTGTTTTTTCGCCCCCCGCCCCCCCCCCTCTTGGCCGAGTTGTGATGAATAGTCAAGTTTTTCAAATTTCTCTTTCGGTCTTCTTTCTCTTGACCCCGTCTAGTCACATTAACACACTTTTCGTGCCCTAAAGTCGTCCGTTACATCATCTGAAGCTTGGGAACGTTACTTTGGCTTGCTATAAAAAGTTCAGCACAAATTGGTTCATTGCAAGAAAAAGGGAGATGAATAAGGGAGATATAAAGACCTTGCCACGGCCTGCATTCAGCGCCCTGAGCTTACGAAGCATTACGCATGCCGGTCTCGCGGCAGAGCCCCTCATCCAGCAGGTGATTTTCACCAGGTGAACAGGGAGGGGCTGGTGGGCTTTTAAAAGCGAAAACAAGCCCTTGTCCTGTACTGCTAAATATTTATTGTTTAAACAAAAAAAAAAAAAAAAAAAAAGAGAAAGAGAAAGAGGTGCATTCAGCATCTTTGATGTGTGCTTGAATTCAACCTGAACTGAGCCGTCTTTGAAGCTCTCAGGAACAAAGAGCTGCGTTGGAAGTGTCATCAAAAAAGCCAAACACGCTTCACTCACGACTGTTTGCACGGCTTTTTGTCTCGCTTTGCTTATTTCAAGCGCTGCGTTTCCATGTGCAAACACCGCCGGGCTTTTAACATTGATCATTATAGAGCACGCGGGCTGTCTGAGCCGCTCTGGCACGGATGAGATTCACCTGAATACTTAAGCTCTGATGTAATAACATATTTGGTAGCATTTATTATATTTTTGTAGGTGTACAATTTAGGGAAAACCGCCAATTGTAGTTTTCAAATTGAAAAATTCAGAATGAAATGGTTTATCCTGCTTGCTTTCCAGCCAGGGTTGACAAGATTGTAATTTTATAAGGCAAGACATGCATGTTCCTTTTTGAATTTTATAGGTTATGCAAAACATGTGTTGTAAGATTCTAGTTTTGAAAAAAACAACGCTTTAATCAAAATAACTTTAAAACAACTAATCCCAACTTAAGCTGGTCAGCTGAATCCACATGGTGGCCCAGGAAAAATAAATCCACATGCAAAGAATGTCGATGTAGACAACAATTGAACACAGATGTGACTAGAATTAGACACAGTTTACAAAATGCTACACTTCACTGGACTCTGTGAGCATACAGCAAAGACATGTGCACCACCAACAAAACACTAATTACCTTATATACCTATATATACTGTATATAGACTATAAGGACAGAATAATACATTTGTGCCTATAATATCAGGCTTCATTTTATCGCAGACATGCTTTCAAGTTTTTTCCCCCCTCTGTAACTGAATTATGGATTTAAAATTGTGAATGTACTGATATAGTAATAATGCATTAATAAAGTGTGACATGGAAACTATTCAATATGTATTGATACACGAGGCCCATACTATTAGTTATCAAATTACCCATTTATGGGCAAGCGCAAACTTGGGACATGTACTTTTAATTTTTAATTTAAACTTTTAGAATGTTGTGTAATTAAAAATGTAAATTCCGAACACATGCTGTGTTTGTTGGTGTGCAATTTATCCCTTCCATTTTGTTCAGTCTGACATGAAGCTCAAGCGATGGACAGCGCAGCTACATTAAATCTGTTAATTCTGAGCTCCTCAACCCTTAAATTATTTCCAGAAGTCCGTCCGCTTTGAGAGTCCATCAGAGAAGATTTAAGGTACACGTCTGATCGAATTCTCCCCACCGCAGTCACAGAAAAAAAAAAAAAGCGATCACATTGCGAAAACATAAAAACCATTACAGTTTAATGCATCCTTTATTTCATTGGCTTTTAATTTTGCATTGTAAAATGTGTGCACTACAAATTAATTGAATTCTACAAAACCGGATTTTTTTTTTGTTGGGCATTTTAATGTTACAGTATTTATTTATTTTCCGCCCATTTTCTTTAAGCCACTGTACTAAAACCTTAATCTTCACAAACGTAAAAAAAAAAGAAAAGAAAAAGACACTCAGGTTTAGCTCATCCTCTGCTCTCCTGCTTAAGTAAACAATCTCCTTGATTACATGTAAACAAACACAAAGGAATTGTGAATGTAGAAGAGCCGTGATCAATTGAGCTTCTCAGCCCTTATTTCCTGCTCCCTGAGCGACGTTTTCCCGAGTCCAACAGTGGCATGTTAACAAAATAACATTCTACTGTATTTAGTAAACAGCTAATCGCCACAAACCGTTTCCGCTGTCGCTATCTCATAAACAGAGGAGCGCAGCAGTTTCAATTAACCCTGTGTCTTTCACCGCGCACCGTTTCACAGCTCGGCCTCACACACACGGAACGCATTGGGCCTTCGGCAAACAACGGCACGTCGCGAGGCTGAACGCATGAGGGCTTATCGGAGAGCAAATAATGCAGTCAAACGTACGCCTTATTAAAACAAATACAGGGGGTAAACAGTCCAAATCAAGCAGCACATTATGAGCTAATTAGATAAGCAGGGTTATTGTGCGAAAGGAACACAGACAGGGCGGCTGGAGGCAACACACTGCTCACACACTCTGGAAAAAAACAACAGCTGCCGCAGAATGACCTTACAAATATAATGACATAATTAAACGGAATTTCTGAATGACAAAAAGTGAAACAAGACATCTGTTTTGAGAATAATTACGCATTTAAATGCTGCATTCTCACGGATAGAAAACAACCCTTCCAAAAATGTACGGGTGTCTTGGTTGCGGTGGCCGTCTGCCGATGTCTTACAAGACAGCAATCTGTCTACCCTAAAACATTCCTGCCTGAAGCAGATGGCATTGGATGTCAACTGCTAAAACTGAACTGGTTTTGTTTTATTCTGCCGGCTGAATAGAATCTTGGGTTTTACTTACTGGATGGAAAATTATGGAAAACTTTATTATCTTAGACCTAAAATGCGGTCATTATTTACAATTCAATCTCTTATTTCAGCGCCTTGTACACCTGTTTTAAAGCACCAAAAAAAGGTAGTTGTCACCTGAGGGCTGAGGAGATGTAAAAAGGTGAATTTGTAAAGGGTGAAGGTGTGAATCAGGTGTGTAAGAGAGAGACCGAGTCACTGGGGATTTAAATTTGAGCGGCAAACAGCGACATGATGCCTTTGGTGCAGTCTTAAAGACTTTAAACTTAAACGCTTTTGCTGAATTTTACAGGGAGTTGTATGTAGAAAACAAACAAAAGAAAAAAAAAGACGTGATGTGAGTGTGTTTATCAGAAAGTTTTAAATAAAATAGAAATTTGAAGGAACGTGAATTCAAAATACTCTACAAAATATAGCTTTAAAAAAATACTAAATACTTAGCAATCAGCTTTTTATGCAATTTTATAAATATGATTTGGAAAATGTCAAGTCAAAGCATAGTAGAGCAATTTTCACTTTTAGACATTTTGCAAATTGCTATTTTAGTCTTTTAATGAAATTTAACAAATTGACACTATAGAGGTTAACAGTAAATTAGGCAAATATTCCAAAATATATATTTGGTGAGAGATAAATTGCTAATAACGTTGATAGGATAATATGTCAGAGATTTGAAATGAGTTTAATTTTGTCCTACACTGACGTTCATAAAAATATCAAAAACTATGATTTTAAAAAGACCGTTTCGATTTAATCTAAACCTCGATTATGCAAAGTTAAGACACACAGCTGCATTTAGCCATGTGTAAAACTGACATAAAAAGTTTAGCATGGGACACGTAAAATAACAAAATGTGGAAGCAAAGGCTGTTAAAAGACAATAAAAAAATAGTACTCACTACAATTATGGTAGAATCCTTGCACTTTTTCTTTTATTCCTCCTTTTTTTACAATCTTCCGTAGAGTGTCTGTCTGTTCCACAGCAAATAAAGAACTTAAAAAAAAGAAAAAAAAAAAAAAGTTGACTCTGAGTTGACTTTAAATGCGCAGATTAGCGATAAAAGACAACTTTTTTCTTTTTCATTTTAAGGGTGGAAAGTCATGGAGTCCCGTGCTAGATCTCAAGAGACAGACTCCGAGCAAGTACGAGAGTTGTCCGATTACTGCTGCGGGCAGTGACTAGCTAGTGTCTGAGGAAGAGAAAAAAAAAGAGAGAGAGACGGTAGAGAGAGAGAGAGGGAGGGAGGGAGCATGCAGTTTGAAAGCGCAGAAAGTTGCTCGCTGCTCTCTCTCTCTCACAGGAAGACTTTAGTTTGGAGGAGGCACTGGGGAGTTTTCTTCACACCAGTCCTCCATATGTCATTCACTCACAGCTTTAAGCAATATAGCCTTCCTCTAGATTGTATCAGTGATCCTAAGACAATGAAACGGCAGATCCTGCATGCATCTCTGCTAGTCTGCTGGATCCCGTGGCTCAGCACACACACAGCCCAGGGGCACAGCTTTTTCATTTTCTCTCCTGTTTATTTTTATTTTCTTCTGTCCTCAAACCGGTTCTCTTCTGTGGTTGATTCTTTGTGGTTTGTCCCTGACAAAAGGATCCTAGTAGGTATGCATTAAGTAAATATAGTTTGTAAATGATGGAGCTGATTTTATTGGAGCAAACTGGCTCGTCCGATCAGCGTTATAGTGGAAGCCTTCAATCAACAAGTAGACCTCTCAATGCTGTTTGCAAGGTAATGACTGCCGTCTG